CAATTTCTTATCATATAGCATAAATATACACCATTATAATTTCTATTATCATCCCATATAAATCGCCACAAATCACCACAAAATTTTGATGACACTAAAAACCATTTGGCTTCAAAAATAATTAAAATTTCTCACTGGTTATCACCAATCACACATTAGATCATTTTCCTATATTTATCGTGCAAGCTATAACTAAAAATTTTCCTATGTACACATAAAAAAAATCATGTAGTTCTACAAATAAATTGATAATTAAGTAGTTGTAACATTTGTAACTTCGAATGCCTCTCAAAATCATCACAATCTGTTCAAATCTTACTAGGTTACATACACACATAATTCTAATCCAACAACTAATAACATTTCCAACCATAATATCATTGCAGCTACCATACTTACATACTAATCTTTCCTGGATCTGTTAAAAATATCTTTTTATCATTTTTGGTTCTATGCATTTGAGCTAGAGAGCCTGTGATTTTTGCCACCACAACATGTGATCATATCCACTGAACATGCATGAACCATAAAATTTTTTGAAACCATGCTCTGATACCACTTTGACACGACCCGTCCCGAGTCATCCTAGTGGACCCGAAATGTAACGTGCGCCGATGATAGATGCTGACTAGATGTCAAATCTATCACCAAGGCTAACTATGAGTTATTTAAAAAAAATGCAACAAAATTAAATGCTTATATAAAATATAATGCGATGGGCCCAAAATATTTACTTCGTGCTTCATCAAAATGAGTTATAACACTCAACATGTCGTGTGGCTCTTATTCCGAAATCATTAGGCTCTTCCAGCTAAAAAGAATCAATTACTACCTATAGGAAAAATCGTGGAAAAATATATGAGTTGATAGCTCAGTGAGCGGAAAAGTTCAAAAATAATTATATTTTTTCAATTTTTACATTTTTATCGAAAATCGAGTTCATATCATTTCATAATTCACAAGATAACATCATGTAATTATAACCAAAAGTGAAACATTCACATAAGGTCGTAAAATATCATATCGAAATCATGATATAAACATAAGCTGGTAATCATGCTATAATTTCATCACATCAAATGTAATAGAAAATCCACAAAATATGTACCCTCTGATTAAAATCTGTAATCCGTCCCTTGGGCTAAAAACTTTTGCCACGGGCCTTTGGCTCCTCCGTGAACGAAAGTCGATCTCAAAGACCTCTCATAATCTATTCTAGAATACGGTCAAGGCCCCTCTGTGAACTATATGTACACGATCAAGACCAATGTCAGGTCAAGACCCTCTGTGTAGGATATAACACGTCCAAAGCCCCTCTATGAACTAGAAAAAATATATAATCATGGATACTTTTCTGGTCGATCTCAATATTGCATGTCTCACATACCAAATAAATCTCAATATCACATGTCTCATATAACAAGTCACAAATGTGCCATAAATAATTTTTGAGATTTCACATGCATCATACTAAAAGAGATTTACATAATAACCATGTAATTCGAACACATAATTGCACATACTTTGATAATATACTTAATTCGTAAATATTTTAAAAATATTTATATTTTTCCACTCACAGTACTATGTTCGTAAAATTAACCTAGTTGGTAAGCTGTTCTAATGTCAGTATCGTCGCATGAAATACAATATAATTTTTAAATAAACAAATAATTATTTTAAATAATTTCAATAATTAAATAGGCAATACCCAAACTTAATCATTTCACGTTTGGACGATTTCTAAAGTCTCTTGAATCGCTAAACCTAGTTTTTCTTTCATCTTACTCAATTTCATAGTTTATTATACTTAACCCCTTCAATAAAATTGAATTTAGTCTAACAATATAACGACTATAAAATCAAACATAACTTAACAATAAATAACTTTTTACTTACCTTTCAAAATTGAGGAATTCAAGCCTAATAATGTAGGCCACTTAATTCCTAACACATTAACAAAAAATTTCTATTTTTTTCTTCTTCTTCTTCCCTTTTTTTTCCCTTTCTCTTTTGTCTCTTTCTCTTTCTCTTTCTCTTTCTCTTTCTTTTCTCTCTTTTTCTTGATTCTTCTTGGCTTCTCATGAAAGAGAAGAGGTTTGTAATAGTTGGATTTATATATGTGTGTGAAAATGGATTAATATGTTGTGAAATGGATTGAGATACAATTCACCGCCTTTGACCATTTTTTTTTCTATCGTTTTTTTTTTTAAACAGCTTGAGAATGTTGACTTTTCATTTTCATTTTATTTAAGGTATTACACAACCGGTGGCAACCAAGGAGAATGGGTTCAAATGCCTTGTAGTGCAAGATTTTTGGTTGGACCAACTTGATGGGGACGCCTTTGATCTTGATCAATCTGAGGCCACACTAACAGTGGGTAATTACGACAGCAGTTCTCTTCTGCTCGAAGCATCGTACGAATTCTGTAGTCGACACCATGGCTAAGGTTGGCCTCTCTCTCTGTCGAAGGAAAACCCTAATCCTAGTGCAACTTTGATGAATGGAAAAAAGATTAGGGTTAATGGAGTGTTTTCATTTGGAGAGAGTAGGGAGAAAGATATTTTGTATAGATGCCATAAGACCAATACATCCTTCCATGAATCACTGTAACGGTTACTTTGTGAGTAAGAGAAGAGGGATTGCTAAAATATTTTAGGGTAAAATGGGAAAGCAAAATGCTTCATGAGTGAATAGTGAATGCCATATACCCTCTTTTAATATATATATATATGTGTGTGTGTGTGTGCGCGCGCGCGCGCGCTAATTTCTTGTGTTCGGATTTGTGGTAGTAATTTAACCTAATTTTAATTAATTTTAATATTTGCCATTTGATGTTAAATTACTTATTTTTATGTGTTTTTACCATTATTATTTCTTGCATTTTCATTTATGTGGCCAATGAATGATTATGTTTAATGATTTTTATATCGTTCGAAGGAAGATTGTACATTTTATACCAAATAGTGAAAACCCTAAATTTGTGTAGGAGATGGAGATATACCCCCTAACCCCTTGGTGACCCATTGAGCTATTTTCACAAAGATTTAATGCAATTGTTTGGTTTTAATCGATATAGAGATATAGTAGGTTAAATCAATCAATTAAAATTAATTTCGCTCAAAAGAGGTAATTAATTAAAATTGGAAGGCCAGGCCTTACATCATAAATGAGTATTTCGTTAATTGGCTTATGGAAAAATTAATTAGATGACGGTTAAATAAAACCATGAATCCCAACCACATTTTCCTCTTAAATTTCCAAGATTTTTATATTTTCTAATTTTGTAGAGTTTTAGTTTATGTTTCCTTATTTTCCAAAATCATAATTTATTTGTTTATTCTTTTTATTTTTAGAATTAAATTAATTAGAGTTATAAAATTTAAAGTAAACATTCGTTGAGGGATTGACAACTCAGACTCAAAACATCTACTTTATTACTTGGACGTGACTGTGCACTTGCGGTTTGCACTTTTTAGTGAATATAGAAAATCACTACGATCAGGTCATGGAACGTCAAAGCTTGACTATCTTAGTAGCTTTTACTCAATGTTAGGTTTCATTCCTGTAAATTGTGTTTTTCTTCTATAAATTGTGTTTTTCTTCTCTAATTATTTATAGAATTTTATTTGGCAAAGCTTAAAAAATTACTTATAAGTAAAGAAATAAGTTATTATTTCTTTTTAGTCCATCATTTTCATATTTAAACCTTTTAGATTACTGAATATCGTGAGATTCACGAGGTTGAGCGAAAAATACTTTCCAGACAAGCAACCCTTGTTTATTTAGTAAACTATCTCCTCCATAAAGACACAGAAGCTTAGACATTGTGTGTTGGGAGTTGCAACATAGATTGTGATTGCAAGTTGGAACTGGTAGAGAAAGAGGCAAGTCTGACGCGACCTTGAAACAGCCCCTGCAGGTGCTTGAAATCTGGGATTTATTTAAAGCATTTACGTCATTGCTACTGTCCGACTACAAACTCGCAATATCCAATGTCTATCTGCTGAAAACTGGTGTCCTACATGGGGAGATACAGTTTCCCATATGTATTTGGCAGCGTAGCGACCATTTCCTCTTTCTCATTCTGATAGTTAACTCCCACTGTTAAGTTGGATAGCTCTGCACTCAGCAATGTACCCAATGTTTCAGTTTACACATTCTTTCCCATGATAGATATTTTGCTTAAATCGCTAGTGTACAGATCATGACAAGTAATAAACTTGATTTTAAAGTTGAATTATAAAAATCTTTCCCACATAGACTTGCTACTTATAATCCATTTTTATCCTGAACCTATGTTCAAATTAAACTAATGTTGTCACCAATTAATGATTTAAGAGACTGAGTTTAAATTAAAATTATACTAAACTAATCTAATACTATAGATGCTTGAAGATGTTGAGTAGTAAACTTGATTTTTGAGCTAAATAATATGGGTTTAAGGACTTTGCCCATAGACCCCAAATCAATTAAAAAGCCTAACATGCCAAGCATTTCTAGAAACATTATCTAGAAAAATCTATATAAATATCTACTAGAAAAATCCATGTAAATAGCTAAATAAAATATGTGGTAATGTGTCAAGAAGAATATGTGGTCTTATAAAGTCTATCTAGAGTATTCTAGAAAATTATCTTGTCCAATGTGTGGTCTAAAAGTTTTATGTAAATATGTGGTCTAGGATTCTCTAGAAAAATGTGTGGACTAGAAGCTTCATGTAAACACTATATAAAGGGTAATGTTCTCCATTTTGTAACAAGTCAAAAAAGTGTGCAAGTCTTGAAGTTGAGAAATACAAGTTTCCTTTTGTTCACTTCCTTCTTCCTATTAATGTTGTCCTCCTTAAAATCCTTAGTCAATCCAAGTTGGTGAACCCCTCTTTCCTCCAATAAAAGGTATCAGAACCCTAAGGTTCTTGTGAAAAATGGCAAGTGGGATGATTCCTTTTCAAGTTCTTCAACTCAACAAGGATAACTACGACAATTGAAGCATAAAGATGAAAGCATTGTTCGGGTCGCAAGATGCATGGGAGATTGTAGAGAAATGCTACACCGAGCCACAAGACGAGGTCGCTCTATCCCAAGCACAAATGGATAGTTTGAAGGATGCAAGGAAGAAGGACAAGAAGGCGCTCACCCTCATCTATGAAGCCTTAGATGAAGGCATGTTCGAGAAAGTAGCTTGTGCTACTACAAGAAGGAAGCATGGGAGATCTTGTAAAACTCCCACAAAGGAGTTGAGAAGGTGAAAAAAGTTCGACTTTAAATACTTCGAGGTGAGTTTGAAGCTTTACATATGAAATAATCGGAATCAATTTCTAATTACTTCTCTAGAGTATTGTCTATTGTGAATCAATTGAAGAGGAATGAAGAAACGTTGAACGACACTGACTAATTGAGAGGATAATTAGGTCTTTAGATTCTAAATTTGACTACATAGTTGTAGCCATCGGGGAATCTAAAGATCTAGATAGTATGAGTGTTGATCAACTCATGAGATCTTTACAAGCCCATGAGGAAAGACTAAAGAAGAAGGTGAAAGAAGAGCCATTAGAGCAAGCTCTTCAAACAAAGCTCATTTTGAACGAGGGTGAAGGAAGATTCAGCAATAGAAGAAGACAAAGATGAAGAGGACAAGGCCAATATCGAGGAAGAAGTGCATTTTTCAAGGAAAAAAGAAGATAAAACTCATTTTCCACCAGAGGTCGTGGAAGAGGAAAATATACGAGGCAAAATGAAGGGTCATGGTATAACAAATCTCAAATTAAATGTTACAATTGTCAAAAACTTGGTCATTATGCTTCAAAATGTAGAAATATTACTAATCAAGTTGAGGAGAAAGCCAACTACACTTTCAGGAAAATGAAGTGGATCATGCACTAATGTTGGCTTACAAAGGTGAAGAGAGCAAAGAAAAGAACACTTGGGATTTGGATACAGGAGCAAACAACTATATGTGTGGAAGAAAAAAAATGTTTGTAGAACTTGATGAATTAGTAAGCGGAAATATCACCTTTGGAGATGAATCCAAGATCCCAGTGAAAGGAAAATGTAAAATCTTGATCCGCTCGAAAAATTGTACGCATCAATTAATGTCTATTATGTGCCCAATATGAAGAATAACATTTTAAGTATGAGACACCCCTTAGAAAAGGGCTATGATATTCATTTGAAAGATCATAGTCATTCAATAAGAGATCAAGGAGAAAATTTGATTGCCAAAGTCCCAATGACAAGAAATAGAATATCTGCGTTAAGTATTCAAAATGATGTCTCTAAATGCTTAAAAGCTTGTTTTAAAGATTCATCTTGACTTTAGCACTTGAGATTTGGACATCTTAATTTTGGAGGCTTAAAGTTGTTGAGTAAGAAGAAGATGGTGAAAGGTTTGCCTCCAATAAATCATGCGGATCAATTATGTGAAGGATGTTTACTTGGAAAGCATTTGAGGAAAAGTTTTTCAAAAGAAGCATCTACAAGAGCTAAGAAGCCGCTAGAACTTGTATACTCGGATGTTTGTGGGCTAATCAATCCAAGTTTTCTTGGTAAGAACAATTACTTTGTCCTTTTTATTGATAATTTTAGTAGAAAGACTTGGGTTTATTTTCTTAAACAAAAATCGAAAGTTTTTAGAACTTTTAAAAGGTTTAAAGCTCTTGTTGAAAAAGAAAGTGGCTATAGCATAAAAGCCATGAGATCAGATAGAGGAGGAGAATTCACCTCCAAAGAATTTGAGAAATATTAGGAGGAGAATGGAATTCGTCGCCCATTGACGGTTTCATACTCTCCACAACAAAATGGAGTAGTCAAAAGAAAGAATAGATCCATTCTTAACATGACACGTTGCATGATCAAAAGTAAGAGATTGCCCAAAGAACTTTGGGCCGAAGCTATTAATTACGTCGTGTATCTGTCTAATCGATTTCCTTCTAGAAATGTGTGGAATAAGATACCATAAGAAGCATGGAGTGGAAGAAAGCCCAGCATCTTTCACCTACGAGTATTTGGGAGCATTGCATATGCTCATGTACCAGATCAAAAGCGGTCCAAGTTAGATAACAAAAGCGAAAGATATGTCTTTATCAGCTATGACTCATTCTTTAAAGGCTACAAGTTGTATAATCCAAGCAAGGAGAAGATCACCATAAGTAGAGATATTGAGTTTGATGAAAAAGGAGCTTAGGATTGGGGTGTCCAAGAAGAAAACTATGACTTCTTACCATTCTTTGAGGAAGAAGAATAAGAGAATGGAGAGCAGTAAGAGCTTATCAGTCCACCTCTATCACCTACTCATGGAAATACTTCTCCATCATCTTCACAAGGAGAAAGCTCAAGCGAAAGGACACCACGGATGAGGAGCCTACTAGAGCTATATGAGGTAATAGAAAATCAAAATGATCTCACACTCTTTTATCTTTTTGCCAATTGTGAGCCAATAGGGTATGAAGAAGTGGAGCAAAATAAAATATGGAGAGATGCCATAGATGAAGAGATTAAAGCTATTGAGAAAAATGACACGTGGGAGCTGACAACTCTTCCCAAAGGAAAGAGAGCAATCGGAGTTAAGTGGGTGTACAAGGTAAAGAAGAACGCTAAAGGAGAAGTAGAAAGATACAAAGTAAGATTGGCTGCCAAAGGTTACAACCAACGGTTAGGAATCAATTATGAAAAGATACTTGCTCTTGTTGCTCATTTAGAAACTATAAGATTAATTATTTCTTTTGCAGTGCAAAATAAGTGGAAGATATTTCAAATGGATGTGAAATTAGCTTTTCTAAATAGTTATCTCGAAGATGAAATTTATGTGGAGCAACCAATGAGCTATAATAAAAGGACATGAAGGTAAAGTCTTAAAACTAAAAAAGACTTTATATGAGTTGAAACATACTCCAAGGACATGGAATAATAGAATTGACAAGTATTTTTTAGAAAATAACTTCACAAAATGCTCTCACAAGTATGCCCTTTATACAAAGGTAAATGAGAAAGGAGGTATTTTGCTTGTTTGTTTGTATGTAGATGATCTTATATTCACAGAAAATAATCAAAGTATGATTACTAAGTTTAAGAAGGCCATGGCTCAAGAATTCAAGATGACGGATATCGACCTCATGGCTTACTATCTTGGGATTGAGGTAAAGCAAATGGAGAATTGCATCTTTATCTCACAAGCAGGATATGCGAAAGAAATTCTAAAGAAATTTAATATGGAGGATTGCAAACCTATATGCACCTCCATCGAATGCGGAACCAAGTTGTCGAAGAATGATGAAGGTGAAAAAGTAAACTCAACACTTTTTAAGAGTCTTGTTGGAAGTCTAAGATACTTGACGTGCACAAGACCAGATATCCTTTTTAGAGTTGAGCTCATCAGTCATTATATGGAGACACCTACCATGACCCATATGAAAGCTGCAAAGAGAATTTTTCGCTACATCAAAGGTATGCTTGATTATGGTTTAGTCTATTTATCATCTAATGAATTCAAACTTGTTAGATATAGTAACAGGGACTAGGGTGGAGACAGTGATGATCGAAAGAGTACGACTGTATATGTGTTTTATTTGAGCGAAACAGCTTTTACTTGGAGCTCAAAGAAGCAATTTATCGTAGCACTATCTACATGTGAAGCTGGATATGTTGCAGCTACATCAAGTGTCTGCTGTGCGATTTGGCTTAGAAACTTGTTGAAGATGCTTGGAGTATCACAAGAAAAACCAATCGAAATCCATGTTGATAACAAATCGGCATTAACATTGGCAAAGAATCCAGTATTTCATGATAGAAGCAAGCACATTGATACATGATATCACTTCATAAGAGAAAGTATTGCAAAAAAAGAAGTGCAGCTGAAATATGTAACCTCCAAGGAGTAGATTGCCGACATTCTCACTAAGCCACTCAAGTATGACGTGTTCCGCAAGTTAAGAACTCCACTTGGAGTAGTAAAATCAAGTTTAAGGGGGGATGTTGAGTAGTAAACTTGATTTTTGGACTAAATAATATGGATTTAAGGGCTTTGCCCATAGGCTTCAAATCAATTAAAGAGTCCAACATACCTAGCATTTCTAGAAACATTATCTAGAAAAATCTATACAAATATATACTAGAAAAATCCATGTAAATATCTAAGTAAAATATGTGGTGATAAATGTGGTAATGTGTTAAGAAGAATGTGTGGTCTTATAAAGTCTATCTAGAGTATTCTAGGAAAATATCTTATCCAATGTGTGGTCTAAAAGTCTTATGTAAATATGTGGTCTAGGATTCTCTAGAAAAATGTGTGAACTAGAAGCTTCATATAAACACTATATAAAGGGGTGGTGTCCTCCATTTTGTAACAAGCCAAAAAAGTGTGTAAGTCTTGAAGTTAAGAAATACAAATTTTCTTTTGTTCACTTCCTTCTTCCTATTAGTGTTGTCTTCCTTAAAAGCCTTGGCCAATCCAAGTTAGTAAACCTCTCTTTCCTCCAACAGAAGACTTTGTGGAATATTTACGAGATTATGTAGTTAGGAATTTTGATTTTATCTAGATCAATTAACATTCACCTAATTCAACATTGTTTAGCCTTTATAATGTGATAACAATCGAATTAACCTCTACGAAGGTGGAATCGACATGTATTTGTTAATGTTTTCCATAGGGATACAAATGCTGAGTGTAGGATTGATGATGCAAAGATAGATTATGATTTGGAGCCTACATGAGAGCACCATGATTGACTACATTAGGTACAGGAGGTACTAAATTGGACCCTTTCCGATGAGGGCTTTTAGAAGCACAAGATCGATTTATGTTAGGTGTGTGAGGGAGATCACTATGCATGGTACTTTCACTTGATGATTCAGGGGCAATTTAGGTCCTTCCTTTTGCGGATTCGACAACAAAACGATGCATTTGCCCTAATTAACATTGACGATGATTTCAATTTTCTGGCAAAATTACAGTGGCGAGAATTATGGGAGAGAGAAATACAAAAGAAAGAAGAAGAAAGAGAAGCTTGGACAAGGTTGCACAGGGAAATGAAGGAGTGGCTGGTTGAGTGAGAGAATGGAGAAACGGGACAAATGCCTCACCCTTCTCCATTAAAAAACCAAACGACATCGTTTTCATCTGATGAAATGAGGGAAAAAAATGAAAATTGTAGGAAGACGACACATATTTGCGACACCTGTCTGGATAAACAATAGCACTTCTTAGGATCTTTTATTTATGTAGGATTAGTGGTTAGCAATGATTTTAGGTAGAAAAAACTAGCTAAGGAGTTGAGAAAAATTTTGATAGACTTTAAAAATGCGATCATTCAGGTATAAATTTATCAAAGTTTTCCTTAAAAAGCACTAAAACTAGTAAGAGACTCAAGTCTAACAAATGTCTTCTTCTTTTTTTAATATCAAGTAGTCTTTGATATTTCATAATCCAAAATAACAAATTGATCGAGTATTATCACTGCTTGTGCAAGTTCAAGTAATTTAGTATCGACAAACGATTTTAAGGCTCTAATTATTTGTATACACTAGTTGCAAGCTAACAAACGAGCCAAATATAGGCAGAATGATTAACGCATTTTGCATATTTTGCATTCTTCGTACGGTTAGATCCAATCTTCCGGTTTCCGCGGAAAGGAAAAAGAATTTCACGCTCAAGGTTTGGGCAAGAGGGTATCTTACAACCCTCTTTTTTTCTTCTTATCGGAGTTATTTCACAAAGATTTGCAGGATAAGGAAGAAGGGGCCCCATCATAAATTGAGAAAAGCATCTACATAGGTTAGTATTCGAATAGAGTTCACCGAACTGTCCGTTCATTTTTGGATGGGTGTCCTAAATTAAATTTTGTGGGTGGCATAGCTATCAAGATTAATGCAGCCAATTATGTTTATTTTAGAAGTTGATTACCAATAGGTAGCATAGGGGAAAAAGCACTATACCTAGGAATCAACAAGACTCTTTTAGAAGTTGATTACCAATAGGCAGCATAGGTTAAGAAGCACTATAACCAAGAATCTACAAGACAAAAACTTTGTTGCTATGATACTTTGGTCGAATTTGAAAACTAATATTATTTATCAAGTGGTTTACTTTAATGAACTATAACTCAAATTTGACTTATCTAAATTAATTTTTTCTTGAATTCATAATGCACAATTTAATATGATCGAGCCTAATATTGATAAAATAATTCTTGCTCCTTCAATAAATACACATTTGGCCCGCCCAATGCATCCCTTCCTACTTGAATGCTTGGTACAACGCATATTCCGAGGTCCCCAATAAGTTGAAAGATGGAGATAAATGAAGATCCAAAACATGAAACTTTGTCGATTAAATGCAGAAAATAGACCTAAAATTCAGGATCTTATCATCTTCCATGAAACATACAAATCTTGTATTTAAGACAAAAACTAAACATTGTCAGTTTGTCATGATAATGATAATGACCTTCCCCCTACCCGTCCCACCCCACTAGACATGTACATGTACATGCACACTAAAACATTCTTATCCAGCAAATTTATGTTTCCCCACAATTTTCTATATCTCATCAGATTACTTTCTAACCCACATTGAAAGTAACATAACCTTGATTTGTACTTTTAGCTACTACCCATGCCTTTGTATATCTGTTTTCTATGCAAAAGATTTTTGAAAAATCCTGTTTTATTCTATTAAAAATTGTTCAGAGAATTCTACTATTTACAGTATTTTACAATGTTATACATTTGTGAAGAAAGGCTGAAAGCCTCTCTTTCACCTTTCCTCGATTTTGATTCTGTCTGATTGATGCAGCATTCAATGATGATACTGCACTCTATCCAGCATAATTTTTGGGAATTTCCAAAATTATATAGAGCCAACTTCGTGGATACTATGCTTTTGTTCTTTAGGAAAAAAACTAAATGAGATTAAAGATAAAGTTTATGATATGTACAAAAAGGTTTATGATTGTCAAGTGCAACACACATTTTAATTGATTTCATATACAGGAGGTTATATTATCACCACAATTTTTATTTAATATATTATATTTTAGTTGCAGTTAAGTTCCTCAATATTTGCTCATTTAGTAATTATTTCCTTAATTTTTTTGTCAAATTTTTAAAAAAATATAGAAAAGATCTAAAATAATTAATAATAAAAGGAACAAAAAAGAAATAATCTAAGCTTTAAACATTAGATGCCAACTTTGTTCAATTTTCAGCACTAAGATAATATTACTTTAGTTTTAAAATTCAGTACAGTATAATCGGTAAAGCAAACAAAATAAAACAAAATTAATAAAAATATTTGATGGACTTTTAGATCAATTAAATTATTCTTAAACACATTATGCTTATTTCTTAATAATTTGTTAATTCTATGTAATTCAACCATTACCATGAAGGTTAAGCTTCCAATAGAAGAAAAAGAAAAAAAAAATTGTCAATTCTATGTACAAAACGTATAGTACTTTTTGTAAGAAATAAATCACATATATTTTTCTAAATAGTATAACAATGATTAATTTTAACTAATAATCTAAGTCAGAATTATAAAAAGTACATCTAAAAATAAGAAGAAAGATAACAAAAATTTTAAAATAATATAAAGCTCAGCGTAAAATGGAAAGTATGTATTTACTTTTTGACGAAAAGTGTGAATCTATTACGAAAAAAATAAACTTTCGGGAAAGTTTCCATTTTAATAAAGGAGAGGTGTCTCATTAATGGTCAGTATCCTTAGTTTGAACATTTTCATGCTAATTTGTGATAGAAACCGAGGTATGAAATTTTTAACTTGGTATGGAGAGAGGTCATATTTCTAAACCCTCTAAATACTGGCCAAATTATGAGTCAATCAAAGTAATATATTAGTCCATTCAAGATTGGATTTAAGAGAAAATTTAGGTAACAAGAAGCGTTATCAAATTATTTTATGCTGAGTGAATTACATAAATATCTCGTGAAGTATATATGTGAATATTACATAGATATTGTTGAACCCAAAGGCGACACGAGGATTGAGATTAATGAAGTTGTATGAAATATGTAATAAGATCATAAAGATGAAACAAAATTTAAAGTAAAGAAATCAAAGATAGTTAAGTAGAGGAAACAATGTTTTATTATAACGACGATATGGAGAGAAAATTACAACACAACAATTTTGGTTTGAACTAAACTGAAAGAAGATATCACTATTTATAGGTGCATACCATTCCATAAAAATGGAAATAAAGAAATAATATGTTTCCAATAAAATCATGTAAAAATAAGTAAGCAATTTTTTCTACATGAAAATAAGGAAACAATTTTTTTCCTAATTTGGGACAAACCCAACAATCTCCATCTTGACCCAAATTTTGGTGCAACGAACGAAACTCTAAAATTCCTCCCCCTTAAGAAATATCTGACTGCATCGAAATAATCGAACTCTTCAAAACAGTAACCAAATCTCTTCATCATAAAGAAAAATATCTTCCTCTGCTCGGTGTCCACAAGCGACACCCGAACCCAACTCTTGAGTTTCCAAAATTTCACCAAAGAATTACTGTTGACCAAACAAATCGAAACACATCCTATAGCAGAAACCACACAAAATACCCGATCAGAAAGCCCCTTGCCAAAACTATCACTTTCAACGATCCTGAAAGCATTACAAACATCACTGACAGTACTGTATCTGTACTCCATGAGCCCAATCTTAGCAACTGAACACGGTGTATCCGTTGAACTTGGGCGTAAAGTGAAATAATCAGTGCTCTCCTGAACAATGTTCCGAGCCGACCCAGAGCCTGTCACAAAAGGTATTATACCAAACTGAATATCCACTATGGTACTAAACTTGTCCGGGTGTCTTTTAACTAGTTCTGCATTTCCCTGCAAGATGTACAACTAAGACTTCTTCCTTTCCTCCAGTACAACCTGGACATCCCTTCGGATCTTCAAGACTCTACATCTACCTCCACCAGAGAAATTTTACCCATCTAGGGTACTCAGCGAGATGAGTTCCTTTTTAGGTCTGGAACATGTCGAACCTGATCAATTGTTCTAATTGTCCCATCCTGTAACCTTAATCTCACTCGAGCGATTCCAATAGCATGGCAAGATTGGTTGTTTTCCATCACAACTTCATTTTGTTTGATAGCCTTATATGTTTGAAAGAAATTCCGATTGGAACACATATAATACGAACATGCCGAATCGAAAATCCATTCCTCGTCAGGTTTAGAATCCACATCAGATATCACATCACTGCCATCCAAAAAATCCTCGGTAACATTAGTCTTGTCCGAATTGTATGATTGCCTCCTATGATTTGCAGTTAAATTACTTTTAGCCTGCAACTTATCACAATCATTCTTAGCGTGTCCTTTCCTCCTGCAGTAGAAGTAGTACAAATTGCTGAAGTTCGTCCACAGTCTATCCCTTCGTCGATCACCATGAGATACTAGAGCTTCCTCATCCCTCGATGTTGTTCCAACAAATGCTTCATCTTCTTCTTTGAGAACAGAGAATCGTAGACATCTTCAATGGTCAAAGTATCACGACTGTACAGGATAGTGTCCCGAAATGACGAATAAGAGGCGGTAGTGAACACAACAGGATCAAGGCCAGCTCCTTCTCATCGTACTTAATCTCCAATATTTCTAAATCTGCAACTATTTCCTTGAACACAACAATGTGGTCTTCCAGTGACCCTCCTTCCGCCATGCGATAAGAATACAGCTTTTGCTTTAGAGCCAGTTAGCTAGTAAGGCTTTTAGTTATGCATAACTGCTCCAATTTCCATCACAAAGCAGCCACTATTTTCCTTCAAGACGTTCTGCAAAATATTATTGGACAAATGAAGATAAATTTGTGATAAAGCCTTTCGATCCATTCATTGTTTCTCCTCTGTTGTCCAATTAGCTGGCATCTTCTCAAAACCCAGCAACGCACCGTCCAAATCCAACTGCGCTAGAATATCCCTCATCTTTACTTGTCACAGAGAAAATCTTGTATTGCGATTCAACTGCGTAATATCATATATCAATGTAGCAACCTCTAAAAAATCTCAACCAAAACACGAAGAACCTGCAACCTAGCTCTAATACCACTTGTTGATCCCAAAGACAATGCGAGGATTGAGATTAATGATGTTGTATTTGTAACAAGATTTAAAGTAAATAAATCAAAGAGAATTAAGTAGAGGAAACGATGTTTTATTATAACAACGATATGGAGAGAAAATTACAACACAATAATTTTGGCTTGAACTAAACTGAAAAAATATGCTACTATTTATTGGTACATACCATACCATAAACATGGAAATAATGTGAAAGAAAGAAACATTTTTTTTCCTCTAATTTGGGTCATAAACCCAACAGATATTTCATGTCCTTCTAAAATTATAGAAATCCCCTTCAATTTGTTTTCCATGACAATCCTCAAAAACAAATAACTAATGTCATTTCAATGGAATGAAATTTTAGCTTATATGAAATTTAGAAAAAAAATGGGATATTTGCAAAGCCTTCAATATTTTGGACTAATTAGTTTGCAATTTTGTAATAATTATTTCTTCAATGAGAAAAACTTAAATAGTTAGTACAGCGCATAATTACCCAAGTTTCTTGTGCTACTTTCTTGAAAGTGTTAAAAAACAGCATGAAGGTTAAAAATACCACAAAAATTAAACAATCATATAGGTTGTTGGTTAGGTGAACTATAGTGCAACAGTCAATACTAAAACAAAAGACAATGTTTGATATAATGCAATTGACAGTCGTTGGTTTTTGAATCAACAGTTGGAATTCATGTTTGATAGTTGGAAACCACTTGCATCAGTATCAACCTTCAAAAGTATCCTGGACCCCAAGCAGGCTTTTCATAAGCAAAATTAATCTCAGGTATAAATTATTTAAATTCATTTTTGTGCAATCTTATTTTCGGTCATACATACTACAATAAAATAATTTTACACATGGACTTATAATTTTCTTCTACCTTTTTACTACACAATCCAAAAAAAAAAATCACCTTTTACAAAATCTATTCTAAAAAAATTACACCAAACAAGTCTTAAAACTTTCATCGCATAAATTCAAGAAATTGTTTACCCCAAAAAAAAAAAAAGAAAAAAAAAAAAAGAAAAAGAAAAGGATGTCCCACCAAACGTCAAGGGTCGTATAAAATCACTTCCATTGTCATCAATAGGTCCATCTGCAGCTAACGTTGTATGCAGGAAGTAGTATAAATTTTTCAATAATTGTTCACCAAAAAATCACTCAGATTCCAAAAAGTTCATACCACTTTCCGGCAAAAAGTTTTTTAGCTTAAATTTCCCTCTGATCCCCATCAGTATAGACCAATAGAAAATGGTCCAGAGGCTAAGTTGATGTTAGCTTGAGCACCAGAAAGAAAGATAAAGAATAAAGAATATCATATGAGTTTGAATTTTTTGACTTGATCTGATGAGTTTTTCTTGAAAAGCCACTCCTCGAGCATCTTTTGCTGATTCTTTAATCAGTGGCAATTTTTCGAAATTATATTTGGCAATTTGCAGCCTGAAGAAAGTTGTCACAAAATGCAAAGAAATTCATTGACTTTCATGGCAAGTAACATGGAAAAATCTCCATTTGGTTCGAAAAGGCACGATGACTCTGAATTCAACTTGAAAGAATGGGAACTCAAAGCTCGAATCAGACGCGAAAATACAAGTTCAAGAAGATTTTCTGCGTCGAATATTAGAAGTTATAGAGAAGATGCAAGGTCTTTCAGATCAAATATAACCATTTGTAGTACTGTTTCTTCTCCTGGCTACACCATAAAAGGTGATACAGTCCTCCTTCCCCAAAGTCCAAGTATAGTTTCATGTTCATTAATTGCTCTCTTCTCAATTTATAATCTTTTCTTTTTCCAGATGAAATTGACCCTTCAACATATTCATTCACCACAGCCCTGAAAGGTAAGGATCCATTAAGAAACATGCTTGGTACCGTCCAGTGCTTTATAACTCTAGTGGTTCCAATTTTACGACATTTGTTGGGGGGTTTTTGGTGCAGCATTGCAGGCAAAAACTGTGTATTCTTTGGAGTACCTTTCTCCTGATGGTTTTGTTCTCAACTCCAAGTGGATCAATCAGCCATTGCTATTTTAAAGAATGCAATTGATCATGGAAGAACCAAGCATATTAAAGTGAAGTTCCATGCTATCAGACAAGCTGAGAAAGAAGGAGAAGTTCATCTCCAATATTGTCCAGGTGAATCTCAAATTGCAGATATGTTCACTAAAGCATTGTCCAAATCCAAGTTTGAAGACTTAAGATTGAAGATTGGAGTTTTACCCAAAAGCTTCAAAGAGGAGAATGTTGATTATCGTTTGAAAATTTATTTAGAAAAAATAAAATAATTTAACTTATTTAAAATAAATTAATTAAAAAAATTAGGGAGATTCGATTCTTCTTCTGTTCTTCGGTTCTTGATCAAGAACCGAGAACCGAATCGAACTCTTCAATTCTCCATTCAGATACCCGTTCTAGTATTTAACTTAAGAAGAATCGCTCGATTCAATTTGATTCGAAATTTTTGTCCAGCCCTAATCACCATCATTATTCTATGTAATTAGATTTCACATGCATCTATGCTTCAATTGGGATCCCCAACCTAATGAAAGTGTGACTCTTAGTAGTCTTATGCTATCCTATAAATAGGTTTGTCATGTACTCAAATCAAATAATTCATATATAAAAAAAAAATCTCTCTCAAAATATACTTTGTTCTGTTCTTATTACTGAACTGATCTGGCCTTGATAGAATCTATCCTTATTTCCGCTGCATACTAAAATCACAATCAGAACAAACAGATGCTAAGACACAAGAATCACAAAATAATAAATTGATAGTTCGAATTCATAGTTGCAAAAGACATTGTGGATATGAATAATAGTATCTAGATCTTTCCCTCCTTACTCCTCACAAAATATTAGTCGTCAATGGAACAAGCTAATAAAACAATATAGAGAGGACCTAGCCTTTATATAGGAAATTATTATTAAGCCGTCCCATTACGACTTAAACTTTAATTAGGGTTTACATATATTTTCGGCCCACATACTCAAAATTACCACATCATATTAAATATAATCTGTAAGGTGTAAAAGAACCCAATTGATCACTTAATATATTTAGTACAATCACAATATCATTATTAGTCATACATCTACCCCATAAAATTTACAATCAAATAGGAAGCCCATATTAGAATTTTTTCAACATTCTCCCATTTGTACAAACATTTGATTGCTATAACAAAACTTTGTACATCCGAGTTAGACTTGATAGGTGGTCACACAAGTATAACTCCAATAATAACACATTACGCAACATGATCTGGTCCAACAAAAATGTTAACACTAAATATGGAAGTCATTACACCAATTAAGCGATATAAGACCATTCTATTGCTACAAATGCCAACTTTCTTATCAACATGGATCCCCATCCTTCAACAATATGGTAGTATGTGGTATGAATTTAGCATCAAATGTGATAAAAAAAATTTGTGTTAATTCATATCGATTCTCATAATGCTTCAAATCAAAATAGAGCCACATGTCTCTAAAAGAGACTCATCTTATATCTTTATCTGTCATATATATTACAATAATATTATATTCATAAAATATATAAAAGAGAAGCTCGAGACACAAACACTTATATGATCTTATGCTTGTTGAATTCAAGATAAACTTATCTTTTCTTTTCACCACAAGACAATCATAAATATGATCTATGTATCGTTAATTAATTCTAGATTGTTACGAGAAACTCCATCACTTGAACTATGACATGAATTATGAGACTTAAAACTTATATGAACTATCTGTTATGACACGAATTGATCTCCAGCCCACTCAAGGGGCAGGATAAAAACTTTTCACTGTTGACGTGGCAAGAGAACCTCAGTTATGGTTCTATGAATTTATAACCGTTTCAGCGAACCATAACTAAGATTCTCTTGTCACGTCAATAATGAAAAGTTTTTATTCTACCCCTGAGTGGGCTGGAAATTAGGACTTCTCTTTTGAGTGAGATTTGCAATAAATTCAAAAACAACAAGCTAAGCATTGTTTACAACTCCCCCCCCCCCCCCCCCTCCCAATTTCCCCCCCCCCCCCTCTCTACCAATTATTGGGATGGATGCACTGGCTTTTCATGGGCAGACAGTGGAGATTGCCTGTTAGCATGATATATCTGGACCATACAAAAATGCCCTCCCAGGTGGGTGACTTGAAACTGGTCACTTAAGCCTGATTAGCAGCATGTGCTGAGTACATGTACTTCTTGCGGTCTCACTCCTTTGCTTGCTCTGAATTCCACTTGCACAAATTTTTCTCACCCAAGGGAACTTGTGGAGCAATAATACCATATTTCCGTGCATCCCGCCTTTTGCTTTGTCGGACCAGCTATTCATTTAAAAGTTTAATCAGTTAAAGAGGTCTCATATTTATTTATCTATTTTCTTTTTGTCTTCGACACGGCTCTTGACATGATCATTCTTTTATCAATGGCCTCAAATGTGCATAATTATTATAGTCTCTTGCCATGTCAAACGGCCTTGTTTCAACGGGTTTCTTTTTTAACCTCATCTAAATGGTTTAACTCATAGATAGAGGACAAACTAAACATCGAAAATCAAATTTATCACTTGTTCATGTCATTAAAAACCTGTTGTTCGATATCTTTAATTGTTTAGCGTCCCTCATAAGAAGTTTACACTCCAGCAGCAAGTTTGATCTAACTAAAAAAAAAAAAAGAAAAAAAAAACTATTTTTCTACAACATGACTCAAAAGGTCGACAATAGCACTAGAGAAGCCCTTTTTGGCTTTTAAGTAAAGCCCAACATGCTATAATAACTATAAATATTTCCTAAATTTTGTTCAGAATGTCCCGATATTAATGGTTTCTGTGCAAATTAATGAGTACTGCAGGTAGGAGTGAAAGAAACAAAAGAGAGAGAGGACACAAAAGGAAATGAATCAGGAGAGAGAAAGAAGATGTGCATGCAAGGTGGATGTCTTTCACTGAGGAATTTGTGGATGAGAAAAAGGCAGAAAAAGAAGCAAGAATCTAGAAACAAGAATACCTTTCTTTACCATCTCAATGCTTGCTAAAAATACAATCTCTCTCTCTCTCTCTCTCTCTCTCTCTCTCTCTCTCTCTCTCTCTCTATATAATATATTTATTCTCAGGATTCTTTACTTTTTATCTCAGTAAATTATGATGAATCAATTTGCACTATGAAAAAAATTAGGTAGAAAAATTTAGCTCTGATTATAAGCCAAATATAACAGAAAAAGCTTTGATAGTGGCATGATGCTAGTAGCATTACTTAGATGGAATTGGAAAACACTTTGTTCTCAATATTAAAATTTCTAAATTAATAGAAGGCTTTTAACAAATAATAATGTTAAACCATTTATCACCATTCCAACTGACGCTTATAAAAATGTTGAAAATTAAGTTTCACTAATATTAAAAAGACACACCATCTTGATTGTATAATTTAAAGATCATGATCATAATATAAATACATGCAAGTACTCTAGCAAACTTCATGTTCCGAATACTATGCAATCATCCAGTAGATATATCATATCTATTAATGTAAATAATATTTAAATGGTCAATATAGAGGGTGACGGTGTCCCATATATCACTGTAATTAATTTTCAAGATTATAAGGATTTAATCCAAACATTAGCTAGTTGTCAATTATCAATTTATGATATACAGTATATGTGAATTCGTTGATTTGAAGAATTTTCTTGGTTTTTCATTAAATGTTCCTTTAAATTCTTATTTTGTATCATTATTGATCCAATGATAATTTAACAGGACGTGTCAATAATAAAATATTAAGGTTATTGAACTTTTAGTTCAATACAATGTTATTTTAGTTGTACAAATATTAATATAGTGGAGAAATATTACAGCAATCATAAGTTCGTCTAGGGTTGGACATGGTTCGATGCAGTTCAATTTTAACGAGAATCGAACTAGACCTGAAATTCTCGGATATTTAGTAAGTGGAACAATTAGGTCCAAATTTAATTATGGAACCGTTCGGGTTCGGTTCCATTTGGTTCAATTCGATTAGATTCGGTTTCCAGGTTTCGTATTATAATTAAATTTTTCAATATTTACACAACTAAATTAATTCAACTAATGATATATTCAATCTTAGCTCTTTCAAAATAATGTAGTTCAATCTTACGTATCTTATGTGTCTCTCTTTGTTGAGTTCTTCATACATTTGATTGTTAAAATTACAAGAAAAGGAAGATAGTGAGCTCACAATAATTAAGAAAGACGTTGTCGATGTTCAATTCGATTTCTCCAGAACTGTAGGAACATCACTACGGTAGAGTAACAAATTTGGATAAAACTTAGGTCAATTTGATTAAATTGGCTTTGAACTAAAAATTAAAAATAGTAAAATCATTTTTTGGGTTTGACCTAAAATAATTAGTTTGAAAATTTATTTAGAAAAAATAAAATAATTTAACTTATTTAAAATAAATTAATTAAAAAAATTAGGGAGATTCGATTCTTCTTCTGTTCTTCGGTTCTTGATCAAGAACCGAGAACCGAATCGAACTCTTCAATTCTCCATTCAGATACCCGTTCTAGTATTTAACTTAAGAAGAATCGCTCGATTCAATTTGATTCGAAATTTTTGTCCAGCCCTAATCACCATCATTATTCTATGTAATTAGATTTCACATGCATCTATGCTTCAATTGGGATCCCCAACCTAATGAAAATGTAGCAAGTACGTACTTGTGTAAAATGAATTGGCTCATTCTCCTTCATTTGGGCAATTATATCAGCATATATCAATGACAGCAAGTTTTATTGCGAATAATTGAGTGATTTTTTTTTTTTAACGATAATGATGCTAAGACACAAGAATCACAAAATAATAAATTGATAGTTCGAATTCATAGTTGCAAAAGACATTGTGGATATGAATAATAGTATCTAGATCTTTCCCTCCTTACTCCTCACAAAATATTAGTCGTCAATGGAACAAGCTAATAAAACAATATAGAGAGGACCTAGCCTTTATATAGGAAATTATTATTAAGCCGTCCCATTACGACTTAAACTTTAATTAGGGTTTACATATATTTTCGGCCCACATACTCAAAATTACCACATCATATTAAATATAATCTGTAAGGTGTAAAAGAACCCAATTGATCACTTAATATATTTAGTACAATCACAATATCATTATTAGTCATACATCTACCCCATAAAATTTACAATCAAATAGGAAGCCCATATTAGAATTTTTTCAACATTCTCCCATTTGTACAAACATTTGATTGCTATAACAAAACTTTGTACATCCGAGTTAGACTTGATAGGTGGTCACACAAGTATAACTCCAATAATAACACATTACGCAACATGATCTGGTCCAACAAAAATGTTAACACTAAATATGGAAGTCATTACACCAATTAAGCGATATAAGACCATTCTATTGCTACAAATGCCAACTTTCTTATCAACATGGATCCCCATCCTTCAACAATATGGTAGTATGTGGTATGAATTTAGCATCAAATGTGATAAAAAAAATTTGTGTTAATTCATATCGATTCTCATAATGCTTCAAATCAAAATAGAGCCACATGTCTCTAAAAGAGACTCATCTTATATCTTTATCTGTCATATATATTACAATAATATCATAATAAAAAGATATAAATCAAATGCAAGCTCAAAATATTTTATGGATTGGGAAAATATATTTTTTATTATTGGAAGGGGCTGTACTCTAAAAATATATGGGTTACGTATATACCTCGTAAAGGGATCAACAAAAACGTAGTTCTTTTACAAAAATATCTCCCACTAACCAAAAACATCAAAGGTTTTCACAATACCCATATTAGCAACATGTGTATTAAAAACTTTTGGAGCTAGTTCCTTAGTTAAAGGATCTGCAATCGTCTCTTCTGCATTGATATGTTCTATTCTCATCTGACCTTCTTTGATTCTGTATCTAACTGCCAAATATTTCATGTCAATATGCTTTGACCTATTGAAACTTTTATTAATCCTTGAAAAGAACACTACTACTCTATTATCACAATAAACAGTTATTAGTCTCCAAATGGAATCAACAACTTTCAACCTAGAAATGAAATTTCTTAACCAAACATCTTGAACTATAGCCCCCATAACATGTCACAAATTCAGCCTGTATAGTAGAAGATGCCACTAGAGTCTGTTTAGTACTACCACCTACATTGAAATTTAACCTGAGATTGATTTTAAATCATCTTGACATCCAGCAAAATCAAGATCTGAGTAGCCTATCACCTCAAGGTGATTTGAGCGCTGGAATGTAAGCATATAACCTTTAGTTTTCTTCAAGCATCTCATAAGATTCTTAGCTGCTTTCTAATGCTCTTATCCTGAATTTGATTGAAACCTACTAAGGACACTAACTGCTTAGGCTATATCCGGTCTAATGCAAACTTGAGCATACATTGAGCTCCACACAGTACTAACACATGGTATCATCTTCATGGATTCCCTTTCTAGTTCATTTCCTGGACATTGAGCTTTATTAAATTTATCTCCTTTTATGATAGGTACATCACAAGGTACACATTTTTTCATACTAAACCTTTCTAGAACACTTCGTATACAAGCCTTTTGAGAAAGTCCCAGCAAGCCATGATTTCTATCACAATGTATTTCAATTCCAAGCATATAAGAAGATTTTCCAAGATTTTTCATCTCAAAATTAGCAGATAATATTTTCTTTGTCTCATGAAGTTACCCCAAGTTACTGCTAGCAAGGAAAATGTTATCAACATATAGGGATGGCAGTGGGCCGAGCCGAGCCGGCTCGGCTCATTAACCCACGAGCTCGGCTCGGGCTCGTGGCGAGCCGAGCTCGGGCTCGGCTCGTTTG